TCGGTGCAAAAGTAAACTTTTGTATTACATACATACTAACTAAACTCATTAGTTTTTATTTTCCAATTTCGAATGTCATTGGTAATGTGTACATTGGCTAACCTGAACGATAGTTTCCACTTTCCATATTATGTTAAACACTTGTGCATTGATAAGACGATATTTATTTTATTGTCTTGTAAACATACAAGTATAAACTTTTTTGCTATTAACTAATTTTGCTACCAAAAATTATTTTAACGTATATATTAACAAAATTACAGTAAAGGCGGCTACTGACCTGCCTGCCGCAGGGGCAATCTAGGGAGCACAGCGATCGGAGCAATATCGAAGGCCGCAGGGCCGACTTAAAAAATTGCCCCTGCTTGCCTACACACTTGTGATGTTGCGGCCCAGACATCTAAATTTATCCTAGATTAAGAATCAAAATGCAGATTGTCTCAACTGACGACTAAGCTAGAATGATTATATGGTGAAGGATTGATCCTATTTCATGACCCATAATACGTTAGTGTATTATGGACCTTAGATCCATACTAGGCAATAAATATACAAATTATAGAAATATAGGTAGATATATAAATAGCGAATTAATAGTTTCATATTAGCGGTTATTATTACCAATAAGGATCAATAACAATATATTAAACTATGTTCAAAGCTATGTTTACGTACAACAACAAGTATCTTTCTCTAAGACAAGACACGAAGATGAGGTTAAAAGACGAGTTAACATAGCCTGGAATAAATTCTGGAGCATTAAGAAACCCTAAAATCAAAACTCCCTATAAAACTCATGAAAAAAAATTATGTACACCTGTTTACTACCTCGCCTTACGTATGGCTGCCAAACATGGATGTATAATAATAACACTAAAAACAAAATACAAGTAGGTCAGAGACCGATAGAAAGGAGTATACTAAACATACAAACAAAGCATAGGATAAAAAAACACATACATAAGAAAAACAACAAAAATAATAAATGCTTTGGAACGTTCTCAAAAACAAAAATAGAAATGGGCAAGCATGGACACATATAAAAGGGACACAGAGGGTAACTAACTGGCAAGGACCAACAAACAAAAAGAAAAGAGGTAGACCGAGAGAAAAATGGGTTGATAAAATAATAAGAAAAGCCAGTGAAAATTGGATCACAATGGCAAAGGACAGACAGTCGTGGAGAAAAATGGAGGAGGCCTTCACCCGTTGAGGGGTCTGTAATGAATTATGTAACGAATTTTGTAAACTGATCTGAAATTCTTATTTATTTAATGTTTTGAAATTTATATAAAATTTAGAAATTATTTGTTATGCGATTGTAAATTATCAATCATGACAGTTTCGAATTGTAATATTTTGTTTTATGCATGCATAATTATGTATTAGTAATCTTAAAGTATATATATATATACTAGCTGGCCAAGCAGACGTCGTTCTGCCCTTTTCGACGACCTTTCAAATAAAAAGTCCTTAAATTCGTAATAAAAAAAAATATTGAGTGTCACTTATCAGGATAAAAATTATCCTATCTCTCAAGTTGGACGAAACTGCACAGTGTGCAAATTTCATTGAAATCAGTTCAGTAGTTTAGGAGTTTATCGCGGACAAACAACATGACACGTAAATTTTATATATAAAGATATATCTGTTCAGTAGAAAGATATATATCTGTTCAGTTACATTATGAAACATCATTACATAAATTACATAATTTAACAAATATACTTCGAAAAATAATGGTATATTATATTATTTACATATCTAATTAGTATATATTATTAATTTTAAACAATACTACTGTTTGGTTGGTAAAAACGCCATCTGTTTTTACTTTCATAAACTTATGAGCGTAAAATCTTATATCTTCGGAAAGGCGAGTAGAAGCTTTGATAGCAGTATCGTTGTTTTCATCTCTTACGCTAGATGTCGACTTTTTCAAACCGATAAAAATATTAGGTACCTAAATATTTATTTACATTATGTTCAGAAACACGAGAAGATGTATCGTAATCTGCCGAACGCTGCTCATCCAAGTTGGATCCATCAATTGAACTCGAATTGTCGAAGTTGGATCTACCTAGTCGGACAATTTGGCCTAGGTATAAACATATTGGTCGACAAATTCGAGCGTAGTGTTCCAACAACTATGGACATAATATGTCACACCTATATTAGGACGTTGCACATGACCTTTGCGTTGTTTTATGTTATTTTAGTAAGCCCAATAACCCTGTTGTAGATATCTTTGTCACAATATTTATCATTTTAAGCTTTCCCAAAGTGAACAACTGATGAAACATGATGGGAAACAACGGATACAACAAACAATGAATTCCTTTTTAGCAAAGTGTAGGGAAGGGGTATGTTCAGTAATAATTAACTTGTGATGGAATGTGATTCCCCTCTCTAGGTCCCTCAGTCAAATTGGTTCCAAAAAAAACCACTGGTGACAGTAAATTCCATAATTTAGTCCTGTGCGGCAGATAATATTGCAATAGATTTATGTAACATTAATGCAATAGACTATCTACACAAGGCTAGTTTCGATTCTAATTTAGTTGGATTCGTTCGCTCCTGCAGAAGTTATATAAATTCAAAAATTGCACAAAATTTGGTCTAAAAGTGTATAATAATATCAGATTTTGTTCACCATATTACTTTCACGATATGCAACGTCTTTATTCCTGATTCTTTCAAAGAATTTAAAGGTAGTATTTTTTTCACAACAGTAGTTTTGCACGATATTATAATTACACCACTTGCATTTGTAGTAGACTATAGGATATCAAACTTGAGATAACCTATAAATATAAAAGTGTTTTATAACTCGCTTATTTTACTAAATTCAGCTTTGCTTTAATACAGTTTTCTATATTTGACATAGAAATGATTACATCTACCTATTCTCATCGATCTATACTTATCAAAACTTATGACACCCATGCGAATTTGCGTAGGCGATATATATTTAGGTTATAGACAAAAGAGTCTGATTATTTATGATGATATATTACTTTGTTTTTCAAAATTGTTAATCATACAACGGGGAATATAACCTAAGGCAAGTAACTCGACGCTGAAACAACGGTTCTCAATTTTATTGGCTGGCAGCCCTAAATACCTACTTGAATTTCGTAATCCTGTACTGCTTCAAATTAGATGAGAGAGCTATTGATCTATTAAAATTTTATTGCAAATAATAAGCTTGTTTTGATTTACAAACCTATTGGAAAATTAAAATTATTCATATTTTGACTTAGAGAGTAGAGCCACGCTGTAGCCATGTATATCCTAGTATAGCTGATGATATGATTCTCAATCGATAATAGAGGAAGATGATTATAGGACTAAAGAACACTTAATCAATCAGGCAATCTGATGGATTAAGTGTTCTTTAGTCACATATTTACGCGCACGCTGCACATGTTGAACACTAAACTACATTGTGTTGCTTTGTAATGTACTCATTAGTTGTATAATAATTCCCATTAAACAAATTTTGCTTTAAAAAAATTATACTTCTCTGGAATTCATTAACCGAAGACACGGAAAGCTTCAAGTAAATACTCAAAACATTAATTTCTCGTGAAAACCTTTCCAAACAAAACATCGTACCATGATACAATGACTTCATGTTATGTTATGGGCATAATATAGTATGTATATATATATATATATATATATATATATATATATATATATATATATATATATATAAACTTACAGCATTTTTAAGTATTAAGTAAGTATACGCCTGCCACTATAGCTCTCCAACGCTACGGGTTGACTGGCAAAGAATGCCGAGAAGCAATAAGTCCTACTATTGTTACCTTAGATGTAAGGTGTGACAATAAAGAATAAATAAATAAATAAATAAATACTTTTTGAAAGATATGAGTAGGTCCTGCATGTCTTGTGGGATTGTTGTAGTTCAAATTTTCCTGTAATGAACTCTTTTGCACCCCGGTTATAAATTACTCTTATGACTCTTTTCTGCAAAACGAAGATAGTTTTAATGTCAGTAGCATTACCTAGTAGCTGGTTTAAATTTAAGGAGGTTCCATTGAAGCTTTACGTCGACTGTGATTTCAAGAAAAGCAGTGGATCCAACAAGACTCAGCTCCTCCCCAATTAAAAGCTCTGTTTAACATTTGGTGTTGTGAATTTAATACATTTTGTTTTATTGCCGTTCAACTACAAATTGTTGACGCTAAACTAGTGTACTACTTTCGATATGGCATTATTCACATCGTTACATTTTAATATTGCCGTTTAAGCCTAAAAATCAACGGAGTATCATCAGCAAATAAAACTGTTTCATGGTTATTCACTACCTGGTAAAGTAAGTCATTAATATAAACTACGAACAGGAAGGGCCCAAGAATTGAGCCCCGAGGAACACTCATAGATTCTAACGATCTGGAAGAACGGCTCACATTGATAACAACTGTGTGCGTTCTGTTATTTAAATATAATTAATATAAAATAAATGTAAGGGTCATGTCTTATATAGTTATAATAGTGTAGCTTTCTGATTAATGTCTCATGCTAAACACAGTCGAAAGTCTTGAAAAGATCACAAGATATTCCCAAAGCATCTTCTGAGTTCTTCTATGCACTAAAAATATGTATAATTAGCTCTGCACCTCTGTTATAGAACGACCCTTTATATATCTATTCTGCTTTTTGTGGAGTATTTTGTTTACATTATTTACATTAGAAAAAAATTGAAAATTGATCTAGAATGATGTTTTCAAAAATTTTATTAAGTGTTAACAGCACAGAAATAGGTCCAATGTACTACCAGATTTAAATAAAGTTTACTATGTTTCATTAAATTAGGAAAATACACCAGTTTCAATCTTAGTAGTTTTAAAATATTTTACAATACCTCCTGATAATATATTATGAAGCGCAAATTCTTCTATACAGACATTTTTGTCATTATATTGTTATTCATTTTTTAAATTTATTGCGGGAAATAAATACAATTTTTTACATTTAAATTTTTTATTATAAAAATCTTTGGTTATTATTGTAAAACAAGCACAACTGTCATTTAGCTAGATGTTAATATGATGAAAGTACTGTTACTGTTACTGTTTACTTATATTCTCACATCTTCATGAATTGAACCATCTTTTGACCGTCGCTTTTGAGATTCTAAATCTGTAGAAATAAGTACAAAAAATTAATGTATGTTTTGTTATACTTTTCGTATGATGACGGAGTAAATGGAACAACCATCCATTTTGTTCCGTAAGGAACGTAAAAGGTGTCTCTTAGAAAGGCCAGATAAAACTTATGGCCTTTCATAGATAGTGAAATACCATCTCGTATATTCCAGATACGTTATACGTTTTTATACGTGGTAGAGCCACGGTGCAGTTATATTATGGCTGTAGCACGAATGGGTCGACCTGACCAGGGTGAAATCACGTTTTCATAGAGTACCACCGTAAAATATCAGCTAAATGCTACTGTGTTTCGTATGTTGAGTGTAGAGAACTGGAGACCCTTTTTACTGGAAACGAGGCATCTAAAAAAAGTGACAACGCATCTGCGTTTTGATTCTTAATCAAGGATAAATGATTATGGGCCACAGCATCCACTTACCATCAGATAGAATGTGTGCTCTTTTGTCATCCATATTAAATAAAAAAGATGTTAAATATTCAAACTGGATAAGGGAAGCATCGCCAAAGTTACGGGACATCAAGTACTGCGATCGCCAATCCCATTCTAAGTGTAGCGATAATTGCTTCAAATAAATATCAAATATTACCTTCCAACAGCATGGCAGGTCTATCTATGGAATATTGCAGACTGACAAAAAGAAGAACTTATATTATGGCAAAGGCACGTAACGTACTACTTGTAGGAAGTAAATGGAAAGTTTAAGCGGATAAGAATTACTTTTGAATATTGGTGTAACAATGTGAATGAGATTTAGAGCAAAACTAGAGACTCAATTTGTATTAGGAGTAACATTATAGTTACAGGTTTCCCGACGATACGTACGTGCCGATATATTCATCATCGTGAGATAGACTGTGTGCTGTTTGATACATCTAAATAATCTCATATAACATCACAAAAGCGTTAAGAAATAATTATTTAGTATACGTGCCTTTGTTTTCTCTTTCTTCAGATTTTAAGAGAAATGGTCCGAGGTGGTATGTTAGCAGGAAACCAATCGGAGTTGTAATGAGTATAGCTTCTACAATGAGCCTCATTAGATCATTGGCATACTTCATTTCATACTGTGTATTGGAATTATTGATAAGCAATGTATCTATCGCTAAAGGACATAAAACTGCCTGAAAAAAAATCAACAATAGATATGCAACATACAACAGCAAAAAATATCATCGTGATTCTTTTTTTTTTCTTCAAATCCACTGCTAAACATGAGGGCCTATGGCCAAGTGATGTTAAAACGCTCTCCCGAGCCACGTGCATCCATCGACTTCCTGCAAGTCTTACCAGGTCGTCACTCCATATAGTGCATAATTTACTACAATTTACTTAGCGGTACGAGGCTGCCACTCAAGAACCTTTCTTCCCCATCGGTTTTCGGCTTTTTAAGCTATATGGATGGGCCATTGCCACATCAGATTACTGATGCGTGATTTTTTATTTACTAAGTTTCCTTGTTTTAATATTAACGGTTTTATTAAAAAAATATCATGCACCACTTTATTTTAAATAAATGTTTTATACGACTGATGCTTTTGAGGCTAATAAACACCGAAAAACCCGGAATCTTTGAATAATTTGAAATACTGCACAGGACATTATAGTGTCCTATAATTGACTGTACTTGAATAAAAAGTCAGATTATTTTCTAATGTGGTAGAGCCACGCTGTAGTGTATTATAGTTATTAGTTAGACCGGTAAAGATCACGCTTGCATAGCATACCATCGTGAAATAAAAGTATAACGCTGTTTTCTATGGTGAGTGATGAGAAACGAAAACTTTTCTTACTGGTAAAGTAACGAGACATTCCACAATAATCCAAAAACATATCTGCATTTGGCAACCGAGAATAGATGTATAAACGAGCTATATTACACATTAAAAAAAACATGCGTGAGTGTCGTGGAACACTCGAAATGAATGAAGCTCCTTTCGTAGTATATTATTATTAATAAACGTATTATATTATTGATTAACAAATACAAATAAATGAATTACTAGTGTCTATTAAAATGAAGCGTCATTTAAAATAATATTTCTTTCATGGCAATATAAGAAAAAGTGTGAGGGAGATGGATATTATTCCGTCTCGCTCGTACTATAGACGCGAAAGCAGTTTTTCTCGCCTAGCACCCATCCGTCAGATTCGTACCGTGCGATAAGGAACTTCGTTCCAAAAACTATTTATCATGCAATGTAACGTACTCAGACCTGCCTCGGGGAGTAGTGTCAAAGATGCAAAACCTCTGAATCTGCGAACATAAATCCGCCTACTGACCGTGGGAATTATGAAAAATTCTCCCAACAACGTGGGAAATCTATATCCAGTAGTGCACTTGGAAACGGGCTAATGATAAGGATTTTTTTTTATTAATTGTATGGTAGATAAATTAATAGATATCTTAATTATTTACAGTAACAAGTAAAGTCATTCTTCGTTGAAATAATTTGAAAAGTATTTCCTTACTTCGCAAGAACGTTAAGCTTGTTTCTAATAACAAAGACTGTTTCATTCAAATATCTAAGAACTCCCAGTCTTATAATATCGTTATTGATAAGAAATATATGTGAATGGAACTTGATTTATTGATAACATAATTCTATATATTTGTATAAAGAACTCTTTTTTTAACATAATGTACAGCTAAATGGCAAATACATATTATTTGCCATTTAGCTGTACAAATAAAAAAATGGCGCTTCTGATTTTAAAATAGTCCAAACACATGCACTATTTATTACTTTCCATAAAAACATTATAACAAAACCCTTTTTAAGCTGACTGTTGGACAAAGGCCTTTCTTAATAGTACGCCGACTGGCATTAGTTACTTTAAACGTTGGTCTGCTAAAGCTATTTAACACTAACTATAAGGCCTATTTGCGTGACTACTGAAGGCTTCGTGGCAGTGGCTTAGCAATGAGTTATTGCGCTGGGGACCGCGGGTTCGAATCCCGCACGGAACAAGTATTTGTATGGCCTTCAAATAATTGTTCCGGATCTGAATGTTTGTCCTCGTGCAATTTATGTGAAAATCCTAGTGTAACATTTTTTAAGAAAAACGAAAAAAAAAAATGAAAAGAAGCGAAAAAAAAAACTAAATCAAAACTACTGAATCCCGGAGATATTTTCGGTATCTGCAGTTCGAATCCCAGGCAAAGCCAAAATTGGTGCAGTCGGCTTGTGTCTAGTAAGTATATTCTGGGGCCTAGATGTATTGTAATCGTAAATGTTGCATCAGGTACGAGTAGGTTACGAGAGAGTGCCTTCTATAATGAAAAGGCGCTAATGTTCAAACTCAAACTCAAACATTGTACAATTGTGGGCCTATGATTTATCCTACGAAGTTGTTAGCTGCCTTAAATATACAGAAGTTGTCTCCGTAGTCCTATCTAATATCCTAACAATATATAGTATTTACCTATAACAAAAATAACATCAATGTCAAATTTCTATTTGTTACGTTAACGTACGTAAGTCAAGTTTTATTTACTTATTATTCATCGTTTGCAATACAAAATGTTATTATGCTTTAGGATCTGGTTTTATACACCGGGTCTTTGAAAATTTGCTTAAAAATAATCTGCAAGACCATATCGTGCTCACATCCAACTTTAAACTCATTAGCTTAACAAGGTGTCTGATATTGTATGCTGTATATTTTGACGACAGTAAATTATAATGAACTTTGCTCCTTTGTGTCGCATTTGCCTAAAAGAAGACGCCGGCAATTTACTTCGCAGCCATTTTGAGAGGAAATGTTATTGGAAAGATCGTTGCTGTATTTAATTTTTCAGAGTTTCAAAATGAAAAATTATATAATTAATTATTTAAGTCATTATTTACATTAAAGGCTCGATCGTCAAATTAATGTACTTTATGTGATAGAAAAAAGTCCAACAGTTTCTTTATTTCAAACCCGGTTTCTCTTTTTCATCATGTTAAAAGACTGTCTGAAGACTGACAGATAGCTATTTATTGTAAGTCGGGAAACCATTTGTTTTCTGAAGTAAATGATGTTGAATTTAATGAAAAATCTGTGACGTTGTGTTACAGTTCAGAGTCAATTATTGTTCTACGTACCTACTGCCTGCGATTACTATATCATCATCATCATCATCATCATTACAGCCCTTCACAAGTCCACTGCTGAACATAGGCCTCCCCCAAGGAATGCCACAAAGAGCGGTCCTGAGCCACCTGCATCCATCGACTTCCTGCATGTCTTAGCAGGTCGTTACTCCATCGAGTGGGGGGTCGCCCTACACTTCGCCTACCGGTACGAGGCTGCCACTCGAGAACCTTTCTTCCCCATCGGTTGTCGTTTCTTCGAGCTATATGGCCGGCCCATTGCCACTTCAGCTTACTAATCCGTTGGGCTATGTCGGTCACTCTAGTTCTACTGCGGATATCCTCATTTCTGAGTTTATCACGCAGAGAAACTCCGAGCATAGCCCTCTCCATAGCTCGCTGAGCGACCTAGAGCTTCCTCATCCGGCCAGCAGTGAAGGACCACGTTTCAGTTCCGTATGTCATCACTGGCAACACGCACTGGGTGTACAGTCTCGTTTTCAAGTTTTGAGGTATACCTGATGAGAAGATGTGCCGTAATTTCCCGAACGCTGCCCAACCGAGTCATATCATAAATCATAATAATTATTATCATTATTATCGTCATCATCAAAGCATATAAGTCTATTATGATCTAAATGTATGTCTAATGCCGGTATATGCAACAGTTGTAGTCTGGGTGTAGTTATTTTCAGGAAGATGCTGCTTCCCATTTCCTATTTCAATAAATCGTAATATTAATTAATGACGGAAAATACTCGATGAAAGGTATGAATTTCACTACCGTTATTATACGCCACAAATATTGTGAAGAATACTTAATCTCCATTTTAAATATTTATAAAGTTTCTTAATTTTAGGTAGACTTAGGCTTTAAGGGTGTAGGTTAGTAGGGTGTAGGTAGGTAGGTTAGTTTCTTAGGGACCTTAAGAATTTATAATAAGCAGCTTCGAACGCAAAATGAATAGTGATGAGAAATATTGATACGTTTGAGTAATATACACAGGGTTAGAGAGAGATATACAACTGAAAGTAACAGTTTACAGTCATAAATATAACTAAGGTGCCTGCGGATAATAAGGCCTGTCGGCTAATAAGACCTAAGTAACAAAAATCGTATTATAATAACCTCACTTCCTTAAGGAGATAATAACAGACTCCTATTGCAAGATAATGTCTCTACAAGTGTGTAGAGAAGCGCTACCCCGCGTCCTGCCACCACAGTTGCATTATCTATCATAAGATACGATCGCACTACACCAATAATAAAAATCAGTCCAAATAAATCGTAGGTATGTTTTGTAATATTACACTTAGCTATCTAAAATCGTAATCTTTATCTTTATGAATAAATGCTTTGTTGATCATGAAGATTTCACTAACGTATCGTGGTATCTTTTTTTTAATAATTTGGTTATTCTTAAATACTTGGCCGGTGGTTATTAAGGCCCACTAAATTTCACCATAGGCCATATTATACTCCTTTTTTCTTGTGTAGTTTTTTTGTTTTATCATGAATTTTATTAAAATGTTATAAATGCATATAAGTCGTACGCTTTTATTATTAAACTTTTGTTGTAGTCAAAAAAAGACCTGGTTTCAGGTGTCCAAACAGTGCAAAGACAAAGCGTTTTGAAGAAGACTTTGACATTAGAAGCTATTAAATTATGTGTAAAATTATTGGTCCTGAGTCTGAACTCTCTTGGACCGTGTCGGATTGTGATTTGATGAGTGTGAGGGAATAGAGATGGCACCTGTGCTTGCGAATATATTCGGATACTATAATTCTGTACTAGTCTCCGTCGAGACTGGCCGCTGTGACAGAAATTTGGATTTGGAGGACACTCAACCCAACAATAAACCCAATTCTCAACTCAACCTAACAATCAACTCGACTCGAGACACAACCGATTGAGTTTGTTTGTCAGTTTTGTTTTTCTTTATGGCAAATGTTACAATTATTCGCTCATACTTTATTGAAACTGTACTAAACTAATGTTTTTTATTAAAATCTTTATACCAAATTAGATATTTATGATTTTATTTTCGATTTTCCCATAGCTAGGCCTTATTAGCCGCAGGTACCTTACTTTATTTTAAAAAAAATCTAAGTAACACAGTCAAGTCTGAATATGAATTGAGTAAGTTTTTGGAATAAGAGAACTATTATGGAGTTATTAAGTGAGTTTATGATATATGTTTTATCACTGTGAATAATCTTGAACAGTTTTCAAGATCATTCACAAAAATAAAATTACTATACTATATTCATTTTACTACTCTATGTTACTATGTTACTTGCTTAATTATTTTTTATAGCCAAGAAACCTTATAATTGTTTAATTTTTCTTTTGAGGTAGGTAAACTGTTTTATTATTTAATTTCTTAGATCCTTATTACGTCAGGTTTCCACGTGAACACGATGTAGAAAAGAAAAATGGATTGACGTCACATCAAGCGATTGATTCCATTTAACTAAAGCTGCTTTTATGTACTGAGGGTAAATAAAATGGATGATTTGCAATAAACCATGCTTCGTAAGCTGGTTGGTGATTGTAGTAACAGATGTGGCGCAACTTTGACAGTGCTCCTAGTCGCCGGAGTGGATATTTTATATCTGGTATATATGGGTTACTTATATTTATCGAAGTTCTATCTGATATTTCTCATACTTTCAAATCAAAATAAACAAAAATGAATGAACATATACCTCTACAATAGACTTAGGTATCCATGTACAGCATATAAAAAGTTTTTCTTTAATCGAAAGATTCCAACATACTAGAGCGGCAGTTAAAAGTCTTATTGTCAAGCAAATGATTAAAATTCCCAATCCCGTTACCATCGTCTCTGTCATGGAATTATGTATCTGAAAATTAAACATTAAATCGTTTCGATATGATCGATTTAATATATAAATAAATAATCGCTGACATAATGTATTTTATATTAATTTTATACATATTAGATGGCAGACGCTGCATGGTGAAGATTTGCTTCGCAGAGGACAGCATCGACCTAGCCCTCATACAAGAGCCTTGGGTGGCCCAACGGTCAAGTTCTTGGATTGTAGGCTGCCGGTAAGATCTTAATACGAAAGGCAGTAGACCCAGAGCTTGTATAATCTACAATAAAAATAATGAACTTTTAGCTGTTCCAGAGTATTGCAATGACGATCTGGTTACAGCCTTTATAAATTTTAAGGGATGCACAGGGGCCAGAGTAATAATTTGCTCAGCCTATCTCCCCGGAGAGAAACTAGATCCTGCCATCGAGTTAGAGCGAGTGGCGGAGTTTGCCCCTAAGCACAACGCCGAACTTGTGGAGCAGACGTGGTTTTGCCCTCTCCGTTAAGCGATAAGTTTCATTCCGATATTACTCCGAACTTTTTAGTGGAAATATGACAAATGAATTAATTATATACTTATAAAATATTTGGCTTGTCTAAAGACGGAACGAATTGTGCATATAAATCAAACACAATTTTATTGCTACAATCATTTTCAGCGCCAGCCTTTAATGCCATTGTCATCTCTTTTACCGTAATGCGCCAGCTGGTATTCATTTCACGAAAGATTTGCTTACTCATCACTCTAGTCAAGGATTTGTGCTGATATTCTAGGACCTGTAAAGTTGTACCCTTTCATTAGTCTATAAAAGTTAGGCTTAGCTGGTGCTTGAAATATCTTTCTGAAATGAGATCGTCAATCACGTGAGGGCAACATACGCAGATTTTGATCAAATTGTTGGTATAACTATACATCTCTATAATTATTTTACAAACCACAAAGAATGTCCCAGTGTATGCAAATAGTACAGGTTCACAAGCAGACCATAAAACACGGTAAGCAGTCGAAGCAGGGTTCTGATTTAATTTCCATCCTTTTCGCGCCCAGTGTTTTGCTGCTGTTGCATTACAGACTAATACTGCAACTCCGGCTGGAATTAAATCGTAAAGTATTTTTTTCATGTTATAACTTTAAAGTGCAAATTAATATTAAACTTTTGGTGTAAGTTTTTAAGTTTCTCTTTTTCTAATTATAATTGCGTTAAATTTTACTGTCGAGAGAACATAATGTTAGAATGGTGTTTTAATACCAAACAAAGTTATTTTTAAATCTTTTAAGATTTCAAACCTTTTTAGGATACAAAAGAGTATTAAAATTATATTATACATTATAAACTTCAACAAGCTATTCACATCAATTTATTTTTCATGTCACAAAATACAGGAACCATCAATGATATTACTAACAGTATGATCGAATATGTTAAGTTTAGACCAAATGCTGAGTTTACGCTATTATTATTATCATTTACTAAAACAATCGTCTGATTTACATTTTTGTTTATAACACACATTTTATACATACACACAATGTAGAAAATGAACATAACAAGGACCTGCATTGAATTTTATTCTGTGATTCATCATTATAATAAATAAGACTATCTTGTGTAAAAAACTAGAAAAGTTAGCAAAAATAAAATTTTATACTTGAAGACGAAATGAGGTTTCCCTGTTTTGATTTTTAGTAAAGTGCGGAGGAAAAGTATTTGATGCACCTAAAAATCTATTATACGTAAAAAAAAATGCTTAATCTTATAGTTATTAAGAAAAATATGTGAAATATATGTAAATATGTACACCGCAAGTGTTTGTATGAACTTTTTATATAAAAATATGGCTTACCAGTTCCGCTCCATCCCACTGCAGACGTGAAAAAGTTGGCAAAGAGACCGCCGACGAGTACAAACAAAATTCGTAACTCAGTAACGTAGCCGTCGCACGAGTTTGGAACGAGCTTCGCCAGGCTTCCCCAGATGACGCCTAGACCTACTCCCGCGATTAACGTCAGTCCTGCCTGTATGGGGTTGCGTTTTTAAAACATTTCTCTTATTTTAACTTCATGAAGCAAAACATGCAAAATTTGTGATGCATAATTTACTTTCAATAAAACTGTATTTAGGTCTTTTATGATCACATTTTCTTTTACTTCAATTTTTTATATACCTAGTTACAATAAGACATTGTTATTTTTTTATAGAATGCGGGTAATAAACGAGCACACAGTCCAGTTGATGGTAAGTGGATACTGTGACATTGACATCTTCGATGAAGAATCAAAATACAGATGCGTTGTCACCCCTGAGGACTACAATGAAATGCCTCGTTTAATTAACGCTGGTATTCAGTGAGAGCGTGGTCTTTTTCCCCGGTCGAGCCGACCCATTCGTGCTAGAACCATAATATAGATGCAGCGTGGCTCTACCACGTAATATTTTGTTTATAATTGTTCAAGAGTGATTTTAATGTATGATCAGATCAGTCCGTTGTTATTCTGACAGGATGCATCGCTGCTCAGCAGTAGAAATAAGGGAGGAAGTGGCACCTACTCTGTCTTTTAAAATTACTAAACCAGAATAAGACCGTGCTTATAACCAATAAAAATAAACCCTGTACAGTGTTAAAGGTGGAACAGGTCTGAAAACTGCTTTAAATAATAGATATTTACTAGGAAGGAAGTAAGAAAATAGGTGATAAATGTAATATGAACCTACATACCTTGATTTTTTTTATAGGATAGGGTGACAAACGAGGAAACAGTCCACCTGATGGTAATTGGTTGCTGTGACCCATAGACATCTACATCTATCCTCTATAAAGAATCAAAATGCAGACGCGTTGTCACCCATGAGGGCTAAGATGGAATGTCTCTTGTCCAGTAAAAAGGGTCTCCGGTTCTCTACACTCACCATACGAAACACAGCAGCGTTAAGCTGTTATTTTACGCTGGTATTCAATCGAATTATTTTATAAAAGGAAGAACGGTTTCCAAGTGGTAGCCTCGTACTGTTAAGCGAATTGTAGGGTGGCATGTGAATGGTTGTAATTATAATGATGATGATAGTAAGTGATAGGAAGTAAAGATGAAGAAGCATTGGATTTGTAATGAGATGTAATGATGGAGATGGATGACGCAAAGAAATAAAAGAATTTTAAAATCTACGGTGTTAAATATATTACGTTAGTAGAAATTTATCATTCGGAGAATATAAAATTATTCCGCAAACCGAGCATAAAATGATTGAATAATTCTTGAAATTATTAAATATGAATTTCATGACTATTTAAATACGTAATTTCAGTTTTTTTTAATCTAGCGCATATGCATGCGTTAGATTTAAGTGCATGTGTTGTTTTTATAAAAAACCTTAGAAAATTATTTTTTACGGAGATTGGCGTTTTAAATTGAATACAGACATTAAGTAGTACACTTACTTTTAAATATCGATAAAGATCACTAGCGTCGGAAAACATAAAGCTGAAAATAAGACCATAAACTCCGACACTGAGCGCAGTATCTGTGCCGCCGGCCGTGCAGATTAGTTGCGGCCAGTTCTGCGTTCTGTCTGGCTTCGTGCCGTGTTGTTGCACTTGCGGCATTACTACGGCGCATGATACTGAAGCGTAGATTGAGCCCAGTAGAAATCCTGTGTAATAAATTATAATTACTAACACATTTGTCGCTTTGCTCCCATTAACGATCACTACGTGTTCATAGCATGTGTTTGCGCTTAAATTTTCTAGACGAAAATATGAATATAGTTAAGAAATATTAGTGAAGAATGTTAATTTTACGAGAGCGTCACTTACATTCATAGAATGATTTGCGAAAAGGGGCTGTAAATAAATTCAACCATCAGAACGCTTAACGCTTAACTTATATATAACATCGTTAGACTTTATGGATTTAAAAGACAAAAAAAAAACTTGAAAAAAAAATTAGTCATTGAGATAATAAGAATAATGAAAATTTGCATCTTTCATTCATTCATTCGTGTATTATAGCCTATCAAGTCATTGGCAGTCAGGCAGCCGCGCTGTTTTATTATTTCCAGTGGTTATCTAGAATAGCTGCTGCTTCTCTTCTGTTTCAGTTTTTTTTTTCTATCGTCTATTATGATACCCATGAGATGATATGAGACAGTTAAAACTCTTACACTGTCACTGGAAAGTTGTTTTACCTTATTGCAACTTTGCATGCATAAATGTTTTTAAGGCTCGACATTTTCTGGTCTGATCGAAGTGACTGGCCGCTATTTTTTTTCAGTTAACAGATTAAAAACATATTAATATTACTAAGACAATCGTTTATGTAGTGACGGTGTAAGAATATCCACTACCCAATTTGTCCCGTGTGTGTAGTAAGATTGAAACAAACGAGGACATGGGCAGTATAGCATAGCAGCGTTTTCCAAAAAAAAAACAAGATAATAAAAAACTACGGTTGTGGACTCGCTTGCCAAGCATGGTAACTATGGCAAATATCTCTATTACGAGACAATCTATGGGTAGGCTTCGATAGGCTGTGATGATAATGAATGTAACCGGTAATATAATACTTTTTTATAACCACATTAGCGATTTTGTTATAAGCTATATATAGTACACTTTTGCATTATTGTCAATGTTACATGTTTTCGTTTTGGTGTAGAAACCATATTTATAATCTAAAACCTACTTGGTGCACTAGTGGTGTGGACATGTCAAAATAGCTTTCCAACTACAGAACAAAGAGGTTATAATCACTACGTTTTACTACATCGCGTCGGCTGAGTGCCTTGTGAGAAAAAGAGGGAGCTGGTATATACGAGCGACATTATGTGGCAACTCGGATTACAGCGACGTTGGGATTAGCCTGCGTACAGTTTATCGAGGCTGTACTGTAATATGTTAATACTATATGAGTATAATGCATATCGACATGGGAAAACTTTATTGTTGTAAGTAGATATTGCGTTTTGCAGTGACGCTGCATGCAACTATTCACCAAAGCCAAAACTCTTTTTCATAATACGAAAAAATTATATGTTCTTATCTATATGGATTAATTTCGGTGTTTTTATAACTAACTTTTTTTGACTACCGTTACCAGTCATACTTTAAAAAAAAATATCTTTTTATCCAAAGTTGTTAAAACATGAGTTTGGCTAGGTACTTACAGCGGTTATTTTTTAAATCACTGACCTCAAAATGGTGTAACTAGCGATAATTAAATAAATTCAAAAGAAATACTATAAAAATATATTCTTATATACATAAATTCCGATTATCCACCCCGTCTGGGGTGGAGAGATAAACACGCGTTTCCAAGTATCCAATCTAGGCTGAATGTTTTAGGGTGGATAAACGGAATAACCGGAGACATGATACCCGCAACAGCCAAGCAATTTTTAATTCTAATGGTTATAAAAAGTCGTTTTAGGTATTTTGCCTACTTATATCAAAATTACTTTCCTATGTCGATATATTAATTTGTGACAAATACTAGTATATATATATATATCATCATCATTACAGCCTTTCATAAGTCCACTGCTGAACATAGGCCTCCCCCCAAGGAATGCCACAAAGCACGGTCCTGAGCCACCTGCATCCATCGACTTCCTGCATGTCTTACCAGGTCGTCACTCCATCTCGTGGGGGGTCGCCGTACACTTCGCCTACCGGTACGAGGCTGCCACTCAAGAACCTTTCTTCCTCATCGGTTGTCGGTTCTTCGAGCTATATGGCCGGTCCACTGCCACTTCAGCTTACTAATCTGTTGGGCTATGTCGGTCACTCTGGTTCTACTGCGGATATCCTCATTTCTAAGTTTATCACGCAGAGAATCTCCGAGCATAGCCCTCTCCATCTTATATATAATAGTATATAATAGTATATACTATACATTGTAATACCTTGACATCTGAACAATAAAAGTCGATCAAAGCATTATTACCTCTGCGGCTTTAGTTGAGCACGTCAAGCGGTTGAAATGCATTCAAATCTTTCACGATACCAGTTCTATAGCGGAATTTATTGAATCGGCTTTGTACCGAATACACATCGTGGTCCTTTGTTATGCGTTCGTGACAAATTTTATTATATTCCGCGTGATATTAATCGCAGCAGGGAAATACGATATTTTACATCGAATATAAAATTGTAACAATGTTTTTTATTTCATTTTTTTATTGTAAAAACTTATAGTACAATTTCATGTTATATTATAAATAAATGAACCGTAACGTTTATACATTTTGAAGTGACTTTTTGCACCTAGCTATTATCATTCATATTATTTAACCTCAATGGTTACAATACACTGGCTATAACTACTATAGCTCTCAATAAAAAAAAAAGTATTATATTCTACGTTGTCGGCAGTTCTATATACTAATTAACTAAGAGTACTTATGTTCTTTTGTTGAGTTCTCTGCCATTAAAAATAGTAAGCTACGCCATGACCTCATCACGTAAGTGCTAATGTTTGCATGTACGAACATGAGCTTAGTCAATATTATATAGCCCATGTCTCAGGAAATTAATAACCGTTATAAATCGACATGGATAATATACAATTTATTTAAAATAAAATCTTTATAATTTTTTAAGGTGGTACCACTCAATGTCTGCCTCCGGAGGTCCTATGGATAGATACCACCCTCTAACCTATTTTTGACGACGAATATCAGTACTTGCACAGCTGTGTTTCGGTCTGATTTTATCGAGTATATTAACTTATTTTATATTGCCGACGTTTCGAGCATTTTACAGCACCTACGGTCACAAGGGGGCTGAGGTGTAGGACGTCCCAAAGTCATTGTTCACCACGGCTACCTCCAGATTAAAAATTATTAATTTTTGTTCCGATCTACGCAGTATGGACTTACAGTATTTTGAAGTCTTGCAGTTGTATGCTTGGGTTGGGATTTAATTTTATTATATAGTTAATTATATTGTATAGTTTACATTATATTATATAGTTAATTTTATTGTATAGTTAAGTTGGACGTACAGATCGGCAAGTGTTCGACGCGAACGAAGTCGCGGGTAAAAGCTAGTTAATGATAATTAAGGTGACGTTGATAGCGCTGAAAGATGGTATTTTTAGTAAGCAATATTTGGAAGTAAAGACTAGAAATGAGTTGGGGGGGGGGGGGTGAATCGAACTTTAGGCCTAGTGAGTTTGAATAGCCTATCATGTAGAGGATGTCATGGGGGTCATGGTTGAATAGAGGCAAAAAGTTCTCATTACACTCCTAGGGGGTCAAAATGGCGAAAAACCAAGAAATTAAAAATTCTTTTTCGACTATAACTTCGCCTCTTTCGCAGGTTCTTACACAGTCTTTACTTTTCGCATCCCACTTGTTGTGGCAGTGCTTTTGTATATTATACTTTCAATTTTAATTAAATGAAAATTTTAAGTTAAATATTCTGTATTTTGGATTACCAAAAGATGTAAATAAATGTAAATGTAAAAAAACCAAAGTTCCGTCAAGCTTTGTTGTGCTTTTAAATAATTTGTATCTATAGTAATTATACTATTAAATTGCGCTATAATTTTCGAAAATATATAAACCATCTACTTTAGGTAATATAAAACGTAGTAAAATTATTCGTATAAAAGAATATAAATTCACGAAACTTCTACTGGTAATCGTTACAAAAAAATCTTTTGAAATGCTTAGTTTGATATTAGTTAATGATTTCTTATATTTACGCGAACACTACATATTTTTAATTAAAACTAATTTTACGGATTTTATCGCGTATATTAATCTATTTTTATATTCCCGACGTTTCGGGTGCTTTCCAGCACCCGTGGTCACGGGGGACTGAGGTGTTTGACGTCCTGCTGTCATAGTTAGCCCGGCTACCTTCAGTTTTTTAATATTAATTTTTGGTCCGATTTACGCAGAATGAGCTTACGGTATCTTGAAGTCTAGCAGTGGTATACTTGGGTTTGGATTTGATTTTATTAATTATGGGATCCCAAGCAGATGGCAGCACCCATCCATCTTCTCTATTGAAATTACGATGTTTTTTAATTTCAATAGCCTCGCGAATCATCCTTGGGAGGAATCGGTGTTCTTTTGCGAGGATTTGTGGTAGGTTTGTCTTTATAAATTTCAATTTTACAAATTTCTTATAAATGCAGATTTCCTCATGGCAAAATTTTTAACTGCCGAATAGGCGCTAGTGAATCAACTGTAATGAGGAATAACAGTTGTGCTGGCAAGGATTGCACTCTAATTGCTCATATACTTCGAAATTTGAGTTTTAAGTCTCCCTTCAAAATTTATAAATTTATTATACAAAATTTATAAAATTATTATCTTACACAAGTTTCTAAAAGCAACTTTATAGTTATTATAACATAATAAATTTTTAAAATAGTAACACTCCGACCTGACTATAACTGAACGCATTTACGGGTATTTTAAGTATAAGTAAAGTATAAGCCAAAGATTGGCTACTATCCCATCAGATTTATACGTGGTAGAGCCATGATGCAGCTATATTAGTAGTATAGTTGTAGCACGAATGGGTCGGCTAGACCGGGGAGGACCATGCTCTCACAGAGTACCAGTGTAAAATAGCAGCTTAATACTGCTGTGTTTCGTATGGTGAGTGTAGAGAACCAGAGACCCTTTTTACTGGAAAT